GAAAAAGGTATCTATTTACAAGGTTTTCGTCATTTTTTTAGAAAGTAGACTGTATCGTATGTCTACGTATACATGTATGCTTACAATCCAGTCTACTTGTCAACGCACATGTTAGTTTTACAATTGACCAAAATAATTGTCTATTCAAATTAGACTTCCCTGGAAGTCTACGTCATTACCTTTGATAATGAGGTAGACTTACAAAGAAGTCTACGTAAAAGAGGTTAGTTTTGCATTTGACCAAACTTTTGACTTTTCTATGTAGACTTCGTCAGAAATCTACAGACTGTAGACTCCCCGAGAAGTCTACAGAAAATATATTTTGTATTTGACCCAAATTCTGACTTCGTTGAATAGGTTAGTTTTGTATTTTACTAAAACGTTAAAAAGTTGACCAAAAAGAAAGAAAAAAAGTAGACTTTAATTTCAGTATACTAATTTCAAAAAAAAAAAAGATAGACAGCACATGAAGTTTACTATTTTATTTTTGTCAAATGCAAAATTAACCCCCAATATTTGAGGGTAGACTTCGCATGAAGTCAACATGTATGTAGACATTTGTTTCCGTTTACTAATACAAAATCAAACTTGGTTGCAACTGTCAAAAAAATTCAAACATGTAGACTGCTGCTAATGTCTACTTCAGTAAGTCAACTCTTGGTTGATTTTTGGTCAACTGAAAAAATTAACCTTTTATATGTAGACTGAAATGGAAGTCTACATGTATAAAATCACAATTTTTTTTTCAATATAGAAAGTAACCCATAAAATTTTCAATTGCAAAAACTAACCTAAATAGAGACTGCATATGGAGTCTACATGTGTAAACTGAAACGAAAGTCTATATTTACGCAGACTGCCTATGGAGTATACGTTTGAAAATATATTAAAAGTGTATTATTCATTAAAGTTTTTCAAGATTTTTTTGTTTGACAGTGTGTATTAGTTAATCCTAATATGTTTGAGTGATTTTTAAAAGAAAATAAGTTATATTTATGAAATTATGATACTTTGATTTGATCATGTAGTTAGCTAATAATCGTAGACGTATTGGTAAGTATACTTTATAGTTTTTTGAAACATGATCGCTAACTATGTAAATTTTCAATTTTTACAGGAAATGGTAGGGCTGGGCAAATAAACCGAACCCAAAAACCCGAACCGAACCTGATCCGATAAAAATGAATCTGAACCGATCCGAACCCGACTTAAATACCGAATGGATCTTGTTTTATGATATTTCGGGTTATAGGTATTATCCGAACCGAACCCGAAATTAAATGGATATCCGATAGAACCCGAAACATTCAAAAAATTTAATAAGAACATGTACCGAACATGTTCTTAATTCCTAATATATATCCAAAATATGTTTAAGTTATTACTAAACATCTGAAATAATTATCTATTACATGAAGATTGATGGTTGAAATGGCGGTTGAAACTTGAAATTTTTAGACTAAGGTTTTGCTTTTATTGAATAATGTTTCTTATTTTTTTTAAGAACTTGGTTTTCATTTTATGCTTTCATTTACTTGGTTTTCTTTTTATTAATAACTATGTTTACCTTTCATTTGATTTTGAGTGTTCACGTTTGATGTTCCTTTCTTATTTTTGAATCAATTTTACTTATGTTTTGGTTACAAAATAGTTACAAGCAGGTTTTTTAAATCCGAAGAACCGATTTACTTATGTTTTACAAAGTAGCTACAAATCAAGTATTTTTAAACCAAATAACCAATTGGGACTCAAATCCGAAAGTATAACGGGTTATACCGGTTCTTTAAAGATTTACTAATCCCGACCCGATCTCGAACCGAACTTTCAAATAATTTGAATGGGGATGATTTTGATAAACCCGAAGAACCGAGACCCGATTGGACAAAACCGAAACCTGATTGGGACCCCGTATGCCCATGCCTAGGAAATGGCTTAGTTACCTGTTGTTGTGTATAAACTCATGTTTAATTTGTAGGCTTCTTTGGTATTGTTATGAAGTGTTAAACAAGTTTGATTTCCGTAATGTAGACTTTTTTAAATGTGTATAACAAAAGCAGACTTCTTTATTAGTCTACAGTTAGGAAAGTAAACAAACACTAAAGTCTATTCTATTTTATTGCTATTGGAGTTGTATTAATTTGTATTATTAGTCACTTTTGTGTTCAAAATCTCTAAAATTGCTATAAAACTCCAGATTACATAATTTTAACACATTCGATATTGTGTGTGTTAGTTGTTGTTTTAGCTTATGGTGAATTTTAATTCTTTGGTTGACTAGAATATTTTTTGAATAGCTGATTGCTAACAAAAATTAATAATATCATACAAGTGCAACACAATCAAAAATTAATACAATGTTTATTGATTATGTATCATAATATTTATTTATATATGAATAATTTTGTAAAGATAAATTACTACAAAGTATTTTTTTTTTAAACTCTAGAGTGTTTGCTTATTCATAATCTTGATATCTCAAATGAAATCATGGAAAATAGTACCTGCAAAAATAAGAGAAAATTATGAGTAAACAAAAGGTAAACATATTCAAATTATTTTTAGTAGACTTCATAAAAGTCTACTTAAATTTTATGGGTTCAATAGACTTTAAATAAAGTCTACTAACCTTAATTTTTTAATAAACTTCATGGCAAAAATAATTTCAGATCTAAAAATGTACAATTACAATCTGCAAAATAATTCAAAATAGTGTTTTAACCTAAAATTAGTAAAGCAAAAACATAGAGCTTGTATCTATAAAGTTAGTTTTATATAAACAAAAAATTTAAAATTTAAAATTTAAAATTTAAATGAATATATGTAAAGCTTGTATTTTTTGGAAGGTGATTTGAAAACTTTGGAAGAGAATACCTGCAAAATAAAATATAATTAAGAAAAATATAAGACAAAAAAATTAAAATCATATTTTAGTAGACTTCTAATGAAGTTGTTTAAAAGTTAAAGTTAATAAACTTCATTTGTAGTCTACCCAATCCAAAAAATTTAGATCTGAAAAATATATACATAACAAACATGAAAATAACTTTAAATCTAAAATTTTTTAAAAATAGTATTTGTAAAATAAATTAGTAGTGAGTTATAGACATAGAGTTGAATATGTAACTTTATCTAAATATAAAAAGAAAAACACACATTATAGATGTAAATCTTACAATTTTTTGTGGAAGAGAAAAAAAAAAACAGGGAAGAAAATACCTGCAAAATAAAGATGAAACTATGAAAAACATAAGACAAACAATTAAAGTCATAACCTTGTAAAATTCATTAGAAGTCTATCATATATTAGATAGTTTTCAGATCTGAAAAATTTATTTATTTGAAAATATGAATCTTTCATTTTTGGGAAAACTAGATAAAAACCATGGTAGAAAATATTAACAAGATAAAGATAAAATTATGAGAAAAAACATTATACATAAAAAAAAAGTCACTTCTAGTTTTGTAGACTTCATTACAAGTTTACTATATCGGAAAATTTTCAGATCTGGAAACTATGTACATGTAAATATGTGAAACATAGTTTTTAATCTGAATCCAAAACTTTAAAAATAGAATTTATAAGATAAAATATTAGAAAAGTAAATGCAAAGAGTTTGTATTTGTAAATTTATTTGAATATAAATATAAAAATCCACATTTAAAATCTATAGATCAAATACTTACATTTTTAGAGTGGAAGGTGATAACCATGAATTAACCTACAAACACAAGATAATATTGTGAAAAAGACATGATAGAAAAGTTAACAAACTAAAAAAAAAAATTCATCTTCACCTTCAAAGAATTGAGCAATGAGAGCGTTTTATAGAGAAGGAAAAGAGTTTTAGAAAGAAGTGAGAGTTTTTTTTAGAAACTTGTGCACCAATTTTAGAGAGAAATTTTCTAAATTTCATTTATATAGGGAGAAAAAATTGTAACTAGGTTAAAAATTTCGATAACAATAATTAAAATTTTGGAGTAAGCTTTATTGTAAGTCTACTTAGTAGACTTTTTTGAAATCTACTATGACTATTTCATTGTTGTTACCTAATCAATATATATTAGTTAAAATTGTTTAATTATATGAAATATTAATTTATATACCTCATATTGATTCTTATATTGATGACCTAAAAGAAATTTCACATAATTTATTTTTATATATTTTTAAAATAAAATTACAAGATTAACTTAAAATGTAGACTTCGTAATAAGTCTATAATATTGACTTCATGGTAAGTCTACACCTTGTAGACTTCTCTCTATTGAATGTAAACTTCACATGAATAAAATTGTAAAATAGCATTTTTGGTTTTTTGTTTAGTCATAAAGGGTAAATAGACATTTTCCTACCTTTTAGATTGGTTTTGCATTTGACTGAAATTGGAGTACATTTTTTCATTTGTTGAATTTTTAGGTTGTTTTTAGCAAATGTCCCTTAAGAAAATTGATGACTACACACTTGGAGAAAAAGAATACATTTTTGATCATGCTGTTTACTCACACAACATGGCGTTTTAGCACGTTCCTTTTCATTATGCTACACCACGTTTTGAAACTAAAGAACATCTTCCGGTCAACGCAACAAACTCCAAGCCACCCAACACCCATCCTCCTCTGCCACCCTCGATTTCTTCACTACTTGATGAAATCGTTCTGAGATGCTTAGCGCTTGTCCCAAGAAGCTATCACCTAAGCCTCTCATGGGTCTCAAAAAACCTAAGATCTCTTGTCCGCTCGCCTGAGCTCAAAGGACCACGATCTGTCCCCCACAAGCAGAGCAGGTCCTAGTAAATATTGGGCTAGAAGCCAAAATTAAAAATGTGGCCGAAGTGATTCGTACCCTCAACCAGGAACTCTAGCATTACCAAGCCAAACCACTAGGATAAAAGGAAATTTATGTACAAATGTGGCCGGTTTAAGTGATAATATTTAACGGCCGGAAGCACAAGCTTCATCCGCTTCCCTCCAAGGCTGCTCTGCCCACAAGAACTCCTTCTATGTATGTTTCCGAGAAGCCGACAACTCATCCTTCCACTGGTTTACTCTCATCGAAACATCAAAGACAAGGGAGTATGGGTTAGTTCTGAACCCAACTCCCTTCCCGCCTCATAAGTACGGTTCTTCAACCATCGTAGTGGGGTCAAAGATTTTCTTCATTGGTGGATCTAAAGAACCTTCCACGGATCTATGGATCCTTGATACACTATCTAGGAACATCACTAAGGGACCAAGCATGAGCGTACCTCAAGTAAAGCCCAAAGCAGCTATGGGGGTAATCGACGGGAAGGTATACGTAATCGAAAGCGGAGGTGTAGCCTTCTTCGACGGAATCTTTCATGAAGAGGAAGAGGAAAAGATCCAAGTTGAAGTTTTTGATCCAAAGTCGGAAACTTGGGAGCTTGCAGGGCAGGAGAACGTGCGCAAAACATTTTTTACCTTACGGTGGGGCGCCTCAGTGGAGGGTAACGTTTATATGGTGGAGTTTGAAGATACAAGTGTGTACAACCCAAGAGAAACTGAAGGAGAGCGGTTGCTTCAGATGGTAAGCGTGAGACTCAAACATGGAAGAAAGGATAAGTTCATTGATACGGTGAAACGCGTGTGTGTGGTTGAGGATGTTCTCTTTGCATTCTTTAACGGGAGTGGGATTATGTGGTTTACTACAAAGCTCAATGTGTGGAGAAGTTTGGTGGATCGTGATGGGAAGGAGTTGTTTTTCTATTCTGTGAATTCCATGGTGGAATACGAAGGAAGCTTTGTGGTTTTGTATTCCGATGTTATTCCAAATGGATTTGATGTCGCAGTTGCCAAGAATGTTCTGTGTATGTTTGTCTCATTGGATAGAGCGGGAGAAACGATTTGTGGGAAGATTGATTGGTCTGGTATTGTGGCTACAGTCCCATATTCGTTTTGTTTTCTGCATTGTTTATCTTTTTCCGAGTGATTGATCATAGTGTCTTTGTTCTTGAAAGCAAGTTTTTTGGTAATTAGAAAGGATTTATCACTGAACCAAATTAGGAAATGTACATGTTTTAACTTTGTTGGAAGGAAGGCATATGCTTTGTTTTAAAACTGTTGCTTGCTTTTAAGAACCATAGGATCCATAACTAAAAGGATCTTCTATCTCATTTAATTTGATTCTGAAGATGCAGTTTGCAGAGGTGTTCTGTATCAGTTCTTAAAGTATTACATGAGGTAGTACAAGCGTGTCTCAAGATGAAACAGAATGGGAGATCGGGTTTTGTGATGTGCGTGGACTTGATGAGTTTGGAAAGGGAAAGATGATATGTGATTGAAGACATATGGACGTTTTTCATAAAGCAAAAGAGAGTTTGTTTGAAGATGAACTTTTCCATTAATGAAAATGGAAGGTTAACTTATGTGTATTGGAAAGACTTGTAGAGCGAGTTAAAGACGTGGAGAGCAAGTTCTGGTCTGCTTATGAGAAATTAAGACCTTATAGAAGAGAGAAAAAGAGATTTCCTTGGTCTGTGTTACTGCTTGGTGTCAAAGCAATGTCTGAAGTAGTTTCCGATGGAGTCCGATATGGATTTAGTTTGGTGGCGTTCATGGTGACGTTTGGTATGGTGGAGTTAGCCATCGTGTGTAGCTCGTGGTGAGTTGTGTGTGTGCTTGGGTGATCAAGTGTTTTGGTGTCACTGGTGTGCGTTGGGTGCTGACGTACTTGGCTAAGTACTTCCAAGAAGTGGAAGATTGAAGCCTAGACTCAGAGGAATTTAGCAAAAACGGTTTTATTGAAGAGGTCTGTGAAGATTGCAGCTGTAGAAGACAGTGTGCTCTGGCGCGCCCAGATGGTGTTGTATGCATGCGTGCTTATACCTAATCTTTGTAGATTGCTTCTTAGAAAAGAGTGCTAAACGCTAGTGTGTGAGTTGTACCATATAGTAATTGTAGATTGCTCCTTGTTCTAAGTCAATAAAATCTGGACAAGGTTCTGGGGATGTAGGAAACAAACCCCGTTAACAAATTTGATGTGTCTTACTTTCTGCATTATGTTTTTCATCGCCTCATCTACATCAACAGATTCCTTTTGTGTATTTCTGTTATCTTTGGCTGCTTTATATGCACATATTTTCAACGAAAACAAAAACCTCAATCTCCCATCTTTTTTTTTCGTGTTTGAGAATATATCATGGTGTTAAGCATTGTTTTCAAATCCTTAGCATTTTACCCGGACCCGAACCGGAATCAACCCGAAAATACCCGACCCGAACTCGACCCAGAAATTTACAAGTACCTACTGGGTCTAAATTTCCTTTGCCCGAATAGACCCGCACCCGAAAAGTACCGACCCGAATAGACCCGGACCCAAAAAGAACCGACCCGAATAGACCCGGACCCGAAAAGAACCGACCCGAATAGACCCGACCCGATAAGAACCGATTTGTACCCGACTTATAAACATGTATATCCAAAACTATTATTTTTATGTTATGTTTTATATATCTATACTATTTTATAATTTAGTTGAAATATATTTCTTTAACAATATTTATAATTATTGTAACATTTTTAAGTAATATAAAGTTTTAAAATGTAAAATTTAGAGTTTAAAAATGTTTTCTCTAATTTTTAATATTTTAATTTAAGTTATTTTATAAAATTTTAGATATATATGAAAAATATTGACTGAATTTGAGTGATTTGGGGCATGTTATGTATTTTTTAGATTCTACATATCCGGACCCGATCCGGACCCGGTATGGATCCGAAAATTATGGTTATTTTACAGGTTATGGAATTATAGACCCGAACCGACCTGGATCCGGCAAGACCCGGCAAGACCCGACCCGGAACCGATCCAAAAAATCATAGGTATCCACATGGGTCTAAATTTCCAAGACCCAAAAGACCCAGACCCGATAAGACCCGACCCGAACCTGACCCACTGATGCCCATGCCTAATCAAAGATATAAGCAGTTATATTTTGAAATTCTTTAATGTGTTTAAATCTCATTTTTAATCTTCCGATTGACACATACACACAATTCAAATATTCAACTTTTATCATATCAAACCTCAAATGCGTTAACCGCCAAGAGAAATTGATGGAACAGTAGCTATGTTAGATATTGTAACATTTATAAGAATATTATTAATACAAGTTTATTGATTATATAATTAAGAAAATATAAAATTTTATAAAATTAATAAATTTAATAAATTTAAAATATTAGGAAAAATAAAAATGTATTTTTTAATAACAAAAAGAGTTTAAGCATATTCATTATAAAAAATAAAATTAAAAATTGCAAAATTGAAATATTAAAATTTCAAATATATGTATATTTTTAAACCTTTTAATGTTAAAAATTAGTTTTTAAAAGTCTTAAAATGAGTTTTTTTCCAACCTTATACTTAAAACAAAATATTTTTTTAAACACAAGATTGTAAGATGTAAAATATTTGTACTATTATTTGAGAAGTAAATTTTCTTAGTTTTCAACTTCTCCATGACTTAAAAAAATTTGTTTACTTTTTATGTTTTCATAGTTTCATATATAATTAAAAACGAATTTCTATTTATAATATTATATTTTTAAATATAAGTTAATTCTTTTGTACTCGATTGTTATCTTGAAAATATATTTTTTCTATTATACAATTTAAGTGAATTTGTTGATTAATTTTTAATATTTCTATGAATCAAATAATCTTACTTATTTGTCCTTTTTAATAGTTTCATATATTAATTTCTTATAAAATAAAAGAATTTATATTAATAGTATTATATTTTTAGAAAACAGGATAATTCTTAGGGCTTTTTGCAAAATTGACTCAAAACTCATAGTCAAACACAAAACTAACTTCTTCTTTTAACTCATCTTGTTTTTGTTCTATTCACCCCACATCTTCACTTTATTTACGAAAATGCCACAAATTTTTTTTTTACTTTTTTTCGAAAATGGTCTTTTTACTCTCTCAACCTCATCATCTTCAAGTATTTACAACATTGCCATTGCCATGAATACTCCCAACAACCTTGTACAACCACGGTTTGAAGCTTTTAATGCACTTAAAATCGATACTCATACTCTCTTTCTCAATTGTTATGAACTAAAAACAACATCTCCTTCACTTTGTCTTCATATTCATACCAAAAACCCAAGCTTTTGATAGCAAATTTTTTATGGTTGATAGAGCCATTTAAGCATACAATTGTTGGTGGGTTACTTTCGTTCGATGTTCTGGGTGGTTGGAGAAGACTCTGTGTGCAAAGGAAGTCATCTCACCTAGTTTAAGGTTTGAAATTGAATTTTTTTCCAGATCTCTTCGCGTAGAAGAC